CATAAGCTACCCTGTCCTGTCGATGAGTTTTGGCAGTTTTAGCCTTTTCAGCTTTAAGGCGTTCTACTTGTCGAACTCTATCAGCAAGTTGGGCCATATCTCTTAGGTATTGTGTATCCAATTTTTTCCTAATCGAATAATCCAGCCCCCCTGCTGCTATTTCAATTAATTCATGCTCAGGCACTTGGGTAAAGCATCTAGTTTGAGTAGTCGAAACCTATTTAAATATTCATCAATTGGTTTTGTGAACCTTCTCTTCACACTAGCCAATTCTTTTAGACTTATCTTGGTTTGACCCATGTAAAATTGTTCATGGAACAATCTTTCTAATTGGTTCCAATTGTGGGTCGAATTGGCTGGAAGGGTAGTGAACCAAGTAAAAGCATTTGTAGTTAAGGAACTTGGGAAGTATTTGATTCTAAGGTTTTCATTGTTTGTTATTTCTCCTGCCTCTATCAAATATCTAGCCACATGTTCGACAGTCGACTCTGTCGTATCCCCTGAAAATTTAGTGAATTTTGGGACTTTTCCCATAGGTGGTAAGTCCGTTTGCAGAATATACTCTGAAATTGGGGATGTAAAGTTTGGTCTATGAAAACCAACATTCATTCCGTTTTGAAGCATGATTCTTTCGATCATAGCGATTAAATTATTATCCACCCCATAGTTCTGGTGTCGAACTTGTTGTATTAATTCGTCAGCATTTTGGTTTCTATTAGCTAAAATAACTCCTTGATCGATTTCTCGATGGTTTCGAGGTATCTCTATTCTTGGTTGTTCTACTTCTACCCTTGGAACTTGGGGGTTTGGATTAATGGTCAAATCTTCTTCCATGATTACCCTTTGATTTAATCTTATCGGTACCCTCTGGGGTTGTCGAACAACTTGGGGTAGTTGAGCAACTTGGGGTACCCCAAAGAATTCAGCCATGCGCGTCATTTGCGCTGTCATCTGTTGATTCGACTGTGTAGCAGTCTGAATGAGGGGATTTAGCATTGTACTTAGAGTTTGTGCTAACATTTGTACCATTTCATGATTACTTTTGTCCATTTGTTGCCTCAAAATTGCTGTCGAAGCATTTGTAAGACTTGGTATCATATGAGATGGCCCTCCCAAAAATTGGTTTCTACTGGCTTCAGATCCCTGTAATGGTGATGTTGCATTTACTAAAGGTTCTGAAAAAGTGGACGCAACATTCATAAGGCTAGCCATTTCAGTAGTTGGCATGCCATATGGCTGTTCTCGACCCATCCAAGTTGTCGAAAAGCCTGGGGGTACAGTTGATCGAGACCCTAGGTTTATCCTTGGTGGGGGTGTTCCCAAAGGACCTCTTGGACCCACATACGAAAGTAAGGGTCCAGTTTGATTCATGGTTAACGCTGGTATTGATCCAACAGAAGTTGGAATATTCCTTTCGACAGCAGTAGTAACTGCTGTTCCTATTATTGGTGGATGTATTTCTCCATAGTTTGGCTCGTTAGCCATACTACTCTCTTCGTTTTCTCTCCTAACAGTATATTTGTTGGTTACTCTACCACTTCTTAATAACATGCAATGTTATAACTGTACAGGAAAAACACAATAACATAGAAAATTAGCAACGTCCCACCAGGTGTGCCAATTTGTTTACCGTTGTTTTTGGTAAACAATCGCTGATCTCCAAAAAGGTAAGGTTTTTGGTTTACTTACGGGATCAACCAAACTAATCCCAGAACATATGCTAATCTTTATGTGAAATGCGTAAGAAGGAAGAACGCACGTTCGACCCAGAGAAAGGATGTTTGAGGTTGTTGAAAAGTAAGCAAAAGCATAAAAATACAAGTAAAAGAAATAAAAGGATAACTTTGCAGGATAATGGTAAAGTAATGTAAAGAGACTTTCATTAAGTAAAAAAAGTGTTTCTAACTTACATTGCTCAACTTTTATCCTTTCTCACACAGTAGTTACTTGGATAATATTTGAGAGATTTAGTACAATAGGTTGAACACACTTAGAAATTACACAAGCTTCTTAATTTATACTAAAAGTAGGTAACCGTCGAGGGGACATTCTGCACTGGGATGAAGACAAGTGTCTTCTGCATGCCTCTCGACCCATAGCTTTTTGCCACGTTGCCTCTCCTTAGACGCTGATGAAAACTACCTTTCCCTCCAATAATTCAAATTTCAAATGGTCTTCGTCCCATGTGCCAAGGCGTGAACACTTTCCTTCAGTCGAATGAACCCTTGGTCGAAGACTCTTATCATAACTTAGATCCTTTTCCATAAGTTATCTCATGTGTCAAATCATACCTCCTGGTTTAGTTCATTCCAGTTGTTTGGTCCAAAAGACCAAATACAGTAAGTGTCGAATTTGGGAGCCAACACTTTCTTTAACATGTTTATTAGATTTTATAGTTTTATTGTTTGTGTGAATTGGTTTATTGGATGAAATGAAATTTGGTTAGGTGAATCAACTAGAGGTTCATTAGCTGGTCAGGGTAATGGTTTAAGGGTAGGCGGTTAGGAATTGTTTGAAATGTTAACTTGGCTTGAGTTCAAAAATGGATGTAAGTAGCTGACTGACTTATGTTTTATTTTCTAGACTGGTTTAGTGTGTATGTTAGTGTCAACTTATTTTTGTTTTCGTGATGATATAGGGCCGTAATTGAACTCATGTAAATGGTTTGGATGGTTTGTTTTGATGCAGGTCTGTGATGTATTTGACGTGTTGTTTTGACTACAAGTCAAAACTGGAATATGCAGATTCATACAAGTGTTGCAGCCATAACTTTGAGCTCATTTATCCATGAACATATGGAAAGAGAAATTTGGAGGAGCGTGAGGAAATTTAATGTGGAATCTTGAAGATTAGCAAACATAGACTCCAAAATATCTTGATGTAATCTTTCTTTCGGGTAATTTCTAAGTGTGATAGAATGGTTAATGTTTTGTAGCTTGTAAACCTTGAACGAAGTTCCACTCTTTGGATTTCTGATGACATCCTTCTTTCTCTTTTATGAAGTTTGAATTTATTTTCCTCTACCTTATTCAATTGAATTGAGCTTAAATGAACCATGATAAGAGAATCCAAGAAGTTCATGTGGAATTTGGTCAAAAGTTAAAATTTTGATCCAAGACTTTCGACCTCTAAATGGTGCACATATTTTACCATATATTCTTACAGAAATTCAAAGCCACTAACTTGCAATATAAGTAGACAAACAATCATCAAATGATGATGAGGCCCAAATGAATCAATCTTACATGTTGACGAGAAACCTAATCCACACGAAATCCCTATTTTGCTACAAATACATCAAGATTGCCTTAGGAACCCACACTTCAAATAATGGTAGAGTCCTTTGAATCAGGGAAAATGAGATCCCATTCAATGATACACCATGTGCCATATTTTAACTAAAACCCATGTCTTAACCGAGGAACACCATAGATAAATAGATAAATCAATTCACAAACCCCAAAGAAAGTCATGAGTTCAAATACACAACCCTAATCCACTTATCCTTGAGAAATATTAACGATGATGCATCATGAACTTTGTTGCTTGAGGGTAAGAAAAACTCCTCAATGATCATGAACACAAACCGTAGATCCAAAAACCCTGATTGTTGAAGAAACCAATTGATTCAACCTTGACTGAAGATAAGAGCCTAAAAGCACAGAGAAACCCTAATTCTTCAATATCCTTGATCCCATGCCAAATTTATTGATTAATGATGCATGATATGATAAATGACCTACATGAAAAGTATGTACATGCAGAGTGTGAGATGCATAAACCAAATAACTTTATTAAAGGGTAGGACAAATTTGGGGTATGACACGCGCACTTCTTGCCGGTTAAGATGACTCACAAGGTGGTTCTTCTCGTAAGACTTTTTGTAGCAGAAATTGTGAGATTGCACGAGGTTTTGTCTAGTATTGTATTGGATAGAGATCCAAAGTTCACTTCACAGTTTTGAAAAGCGTTTCACCATGAGATTTGGACAGATTTAAAGTTGAGTACTTCCATTCATCCTCAAACCGACGGACAAACAGAAAGAACTATTCAAACTATTGAGGACATGTTGAGAGCATGCATTCTATAAAGTTGTGGGAATTGGAATGATCATTTACCCTTGGTGGAATTTGCGTATTACAATAGTTAGCACGTGAGTATCAATATGGAACCGTATGAAGCCTTGTATGGAAGGAAATATCGATCACCGTTGTGTTGGTCGAAAGTTGGTGAAAGAGGAATTTTTGGACTAGAAATAATTCAAAAAACGACGGAAAAGATTTAGACGATCCAAGAAAAGATGAAGAGTGCAAAATCGCCAAAAGAATTATGTGTATAAAAAGAGAAGACCTTTGAAATTCCAAAGACCTATTTTTGCACTCCAAACATGTATGAAATCTAATACATATTAATAGTATGAACTATCTAGGTCGTTAAGTAAAAAACGTTGTCTACTTTTAGTGAAAATTTGGCACTCACAACACGCAAAGCAGCACCTATTTTTCGCTTCTTTTTTCATGCACGTCTACTTTTCTCTTACATTCATAACATTTTTTATTTATTGAAAAAAATGAATTAAGATAGGAATTGCATTGCACCTAAAAGAAACATTTTTCTACGCAAAGTGATGAATATAAGAATCTCATTTAACATGCCGTGAATATGATATATACCTGATTCAAAACTATAGTGACAGGCAACGCTAATACCAAAAAAAAAAACATCATGGATGAAGCTTCTTTTGACTTGTGATCTAATCAACTAAAAATCACATGCATCACAATCATAAATAATAATTAATATTTAACTAAAAATCACCAACTATGAGAATATCTACAATTATAGTCACTAAATATGAATAAATTCAATTTTCAATTTCAATGTAGAATGAATGGAAATAATTATTATCAACATATACAAGTTAAATTGAAAAAAAGTAAAAAAAAAAATATAAAAAAATTAATGTCAATGAATTAATACTGAATACACAAATTTGAGATTTAGAAATGGCAATCCACCAAAGAAGAATTACTAGAGAAAGCAATAACATTTTCTCTAGGCTGAAAGGAAAACTTGGATTGATCTCTTTGTTCAACTTCAGGAGCTGGAAGATTCAAATCCAACTTCAAAACTTTTCTTGGTTTCTTAGCTTCATGAGATTTAGGGCTACCAATACTCATACTCAAAGAAGTTGTTGTCGCGGTTGTTGTTGTCGACGTGTTCACGAGTGTTCGATGTCGACGCATATGTCCTCCCAATGCTTGCCCCGATGAGAATTCCGCGCCACATATCGAACACTCGTGAACTTTCGACTTTTTTGTAGGAGTAGTTCTAGTGGTAATAGTAGTAATCGGGGTTGCGGCCGTAAAGGCTTGTAATGATAGTATAGTATTCATGGTTGGATCATAATGATCATCAACAAAAGTTCTTGTAACATTATTGCTACAATTTGGTTTGTTAGGTTTGCTATGACTTGCTCTATGTCCACCAAGTGCTTGAAAGGATGGGAAACATCTATTGCATGTCTTGCATTGGTAAAGATAAAAATTTGAAGATCTTTTGTTATCGTTGTCAGGATGATGTTCCTGACGACGATAATGATGACCTTGAGCTAATAGGATAAGACAATTTGCCATATCTTCTTCTTCTTTTTCTTCTTCTGATCGGTCACACGATTTTATTATCGTGAAATCAATTCCTTTTGAATTTCGCTCGTTGTGATCGTGATTATTGTTTTCGTAATAGCTTGTTCCTTCATCGCAAGACATGGCTAACCTTAGTGGAGAAGGCAACCTTTGACGCTTTGTTCTCTTTCCTTTTATGACTTGTTGTTGTGTAAGATCCTTAGAAACCACCATGAGTTGTTGTTCTTCCAAGACTTGCATGTTTTATTTTTTTGAGAGAGAAAAAAAAAGAGAAGAAGGTGTGAAGTTTGAGATGAATGAATGAATGAATGAGAGAGAGAGAGAGTTAATATATATTAGTGGTGTAAAGAAAGGGTTTAAAGGTGCATGAATAACCAACCTATGATGAAGAGTATACAAATATAACCTAATAGTTATAAATATGGTATTTGCCAGAGTTGCTTTTCCAACATTGGAAGTTATATATAGAGATATTAAAATACAACAAGGTGTGAAGTGTAGGCAAGAGATAGAGAAAGAGAGAGATTGTGAAGTATGTGTATGTGAGGAGGTAATGGAAGAAACGAGTGAGATTCGGTTGGCTTTGAAGCAAACCCATTACTTTTTCTCAACGATTCCTTTTTAGAGGATTGGTTTGCAAGCCTGGAACCACACACAACTTTCATCTCTTCTTCTATATATATTTTTTTATTTCTATTTTCTTACTAGAACCAACTACATTTTTTATTTAAAGAAATTAATCAATTTATTTAAAGATTAATTATTTTTTATATTATGTCATTAAATAATAAAATATGATATTGATATTAAGAACAGTAACTATATGTATCTCAAAAGTAGTTATTCATGTCAACACTATATTTAAATGTCTTTATTTTAGTTTATTTTCTTGCTTGTTTGTGTTGCTGTTGGTTCTTATTTGTCTTACTTAATTTGATTCTACATTTAACTAATTTTATAGTATCTCTAATTTATTGGATAATCTGTTTAACAAACCAGTGACAGAGAAATTATATGGCTTAGACAGATCCTTAATAATGACTTATGATCATGGCAGGTTGTCTTGTATAATTAATTAATTTTCTTGCTATATAATAAGCATGACTTTGATGATTAATAGTAGCTAATAGCTATACACACTTGCTAAGAAGGGAATTCATGTGCTGTTGACCTCAACCACTTGTTTTACAAATTAGTCACAATCTCATTGGTTAATAATCCAACAATCACGCCTTATATATGCATGATCCTATTTTAAATTCGTTTGTCTTACTATCTCCCAATCATTTGGCGTCGGTGAAAAGCACTTTCTATACTATATATGATGGCTCTCCCTTGAGTCTTACTTACTACAATTAATTAGTGCACAATGTAAACTAAGTGTGTGATGAATATTATATACTTTAAATTGGTGCTTTCACACCAAACAAAACGATACAATTATTCTATATTTGGTCAACTGCTTTTTTTTCCCTTTGTTAAATCAGTTTTAAACTCGGAATTGCTATGTTGGTGATAGTAATTTGTCATATAGCATTTTAGTTTGTTATTTATAATAATTTTCTATATTTTTCTATTTTGTTATTTTTAATATATCAAATTCCGAGTTACTAGTTGAATATGACCCATCTTTCTTAGACTTATTTTTGATAGGCTTTCTCTAATCTTTAAACAAAAATGGAGTAAGGTGAATGATGTTGATATTCGAGAATATGAAGTCTGGTCGGAAAATTTCATTGTAGGAGATCTCTCTTTAACTGCGAGAAGATTTGGTGTATGACCTTATCTAGCCATTCATAGTTATACTCTCTCGTTGGAGAGTGATTGTTGATGTTGGTCGTTGTTGGAGAATAATTGTCGCCTCTACCAACAGAAATATTTTTGAGTTTTATGATTCTCTTTCTACTCTTCCTTCTAGTTTAGTTTGTATTTTGACATTCATTTGGTGTAGTTGGATTTCTTCGAAAGTAGTGGTACTTTCTTAATAGCTTCTCTAAGATAAGATTTGTTGTAATGGAGTACCGTCAAGAATAAATCAAAACTATGAGTTTCTTGAACAAACACAAGAAATTCTATTAGATTTTCACAAAAGAGAGAGAAGAGAAAAGAAGAAGAAAATTAGGATTGGTTGTAACTATTTTTCTATTCACTTTCTCTATTAGAATTTACATATTTCAAGTGAATAACAACAATCAAACTCTCTCAACAACCTGAGAGAACTAATCTATTTATAGACTATCAAACTAACTTAGACTACAAGCTAACTTAAACAATTGGCTTAAATACGAATCCAATTCGACATGCTAACAAACATAGCATTATCGACTACTACATGTTATAACATAATTCGACTACAACATGCACGACTTCGACATCAGCATGTGAACAAACTTCGACAACATGCTTAATCTATGTCGAACCAAGAAACATATCCCTTCCGAGATACTAGAGTTCGATCTCAAATCTCATAAATCTCCACATTAGAAACAAACTCTACAACATCAAGGGAACAAACTAGTTTTCTTCATGCAACTTTATCAACTGCATACAATGGAAGAACTTGCAACTTGGTAATGTCTTGGTGATCATATCAGCAACATTGTGATCTTTCAAAACCTTTAGCACTTGGACTTCTCCATGCTCAATTATTTCTCCGACGAAATTCAACCTCGCATTTATGTATTTGGTTCGCCCATGATAGGCTGAATTCTTCGACAAATGTATGGAACTTTGACTATCACATTTAACAGTGATAACTCGACCTTGAAGTTTCATCTCCTTATCAAAACCTTCAATCCACAATGCTTCTTTCTCAACTTCAGTGAGGGTAATATATTCCCCTTCAGTGGTTGATAAGGCGACAACCTTCTGAAGTGTAGCTTTCCAACTTATTGTTGAGCCAAACATAGTGAAAATATATTCAGAAATAGATTTCAGGAATACATACAACCTGCATAATCAAAGTAAACAAATCCTTCGATTTATTCTTTTCTATCATCTCCACAAGCTCCACATTAAATAAGGACTTTGTTCAGACACCCATTTATGTACCTTAAAATCCATGTCAATGCTTGTCGGTGTGCCTTTCTAGGATTGGCCATATACCTACTTATAAGGCTCACTCCATACGATATGGATGACCTTGTACAGCCATAGAATACATGAAAGAACCTACTATACTAGCATATGTAATGCTATTCATATATGCTCTTTCGACTTCAGTACTACGACTTTGAGTCATACTCAGCTTGAATTGAGGATTAGTCAGTGTTACAACAGGCTTTGAATTCGACATACTAAATTTTTCGAGAATCTTATTCAAGTATTTCTCGTGAGATAAGCATAATCTCTACTGCTTTCTATCTCTCTGAATGTCAATCTCATGATTTCTGGAGGCAGCTCCTAGATCTTTCATGTCAAAGTCCTTATTGAGTACATCCTTCACCTTCATTACATCCTCGACATTTTTCCTTGTTGTGAGAATATTATACACATAAAGCAACAAAATGACAAGTGAATTTCCAGGTCAAAATCTGAAGTAAACACAGTGGTCAAACTGACTTCTAGTGAAACCTATGTATTCCATGAACTTGTCGAATCCATATTGCATTGTCAAGGTGATTGTTTCAGTCCATATAAAGATCTATTCAGCTTGAGCACATGATCTTACTTTCCCATTTCTGCATATCCTTTATATTTCTTCATCAGGATTGTCTCATCTAGATCACCATACAAGAAAGCAGTCTTCATATCCAATTATTCTAGCTCTAGGTTAAACTTTGCCACCATGGAAAGCAATATTCGAATGGATTTTTGCTTCACAGCAGGTGAGAACACATCATTGAAGTCAACTCTTTTTTATGAGTGAACCCCTTATAAACCAATCTTACCTTGTATCTCTTTGAAAATCCACTTACAATTGACTAATATGGCCTCTGCAGGTTTCTCGATCATCTCCTACATGTTATTATCATGAAGAGATTTCATCTCATCATTCATGACCTTCAGATATTCAGTCATATTTCAACTCTTTGTTTCTTCCTTGTAGCCTCTAGGTTCTTCACCAAGAACCTCACTTGCAGAGATTAAGGAAAAGATTATAAGATCTACATAATGGAGTCTTTGAGGTAGCTTGATGACTCTTCTCGACTTGTCTCTTGTGAGTAGGTAGTCACTTTTCAGTTTCCCCGGTTTCATCAACTTTTGCTTCTTCTTAGACTTAATCTAGATTATGCAATTCAGCATCACAATGCTCCACCTCAACATGAATCTCTCCCTGTTCCAGCTCCTCTTCAGAGATTTCTGTATTTCGACCAGCATATCAGTTTTCTTGAACGCCATTTCTGCTTCATTAGAAACTACATCTCGACTTGTGATACACCTTCTATGACCTAGCTCTAGGCACCACAACCTATAAGCTTTGACTCTTTCACGGTACCCCATGAACATGTATCTCAGAGCTCTAGGTTCGACCTTGTCTTGCCTAATGTGAGCATAGTCTACACATCCAAATGCTCTAAATTTTTCGAGATTAGATGGATATCCTGACTAGACTTCTTCCGGTGTTTTCATCCCTAAGTCAGTCAAGAGACATCTATTTATCAGATATGCTAATGTCGAAACAGCCTCAGCCCAAAACTCCTTCTTCAATCCATATCACATTTTTACGTGCATGTTTTTTTAATTTTATTATGAAACTTTTCATCACGGTTACTGTAAAGAACCGTTGTCATATATTTTGAGTGACAAGATTTGAATCCCAGTATCAACATTTTTTCCATTTTTACAATAATAATAAGCATGTGTGATCGGTAAAATAGCAAGTGTACTATTCTGCCTCTTGTAATAACAGGGAAAATTCCCTGAATGTCGGTCTCAAGGACTGCACAAAATTATCGAGTTTAATGCGAGGTTCAATTAAATAAAACTCAATTTTGGGTTTGGTTTGGTTATTGTACTTAATAATAATTAAAGATATGCGAAGGTAAATTATGACTTTTTTTACTAGTGTGAATACTATGCTAGGGGTAAGTGTGTGGTTTGTCCTGTAATGACCTTCACTATTGATCTCTTCTATAAGTTCATTACCTTTAACTATCGGCCCTTTAGATTATTTTCCCCTAGGTCATTAGTGAGAAAACCTTAAATCATCCATCCTCAATCCTAAGTCCTTAGAAATATCTGATGGAGTTAAGCCTTTATATTATCAAGGGTTAAATCCGGTGACTATAGGGTATCCC